GAGCATTCAACTGAGTGAAGAACAGAAATCAGCGCTGGCCTTCCTAAACAGACCCCAGACTTCCCTTGGTGAAAACAAGAGACTGTCAACAATAGATGAATCCAGTTCAGTTTTATTTGACATCAGTTTTGACAAGACAGATAAATCACTGTATTGGGATTCTGCAATAGTAAAAACTGTTAAACTGAAGAAAAGAGAGAAAAGGCTCTCATGCAGGCAGTTTATTGAAAGTCCTCCTGGTCCTTTAAAGAAAACCCATTCCATTGGCTCCACAGCGGATCAGGGAAATGAATCATTGTAAAAACAATCCTAACTGTTCCCAACAATGGAGGCCCAGTTGAGGCAATTCCCACTATTGAGCCCATACCTTGCTATCCTGGAAACAACAGAAAGGCAGCCATTCTGCAGCCTTGGAACAGCAATCCAAGCCTGGGAAGCAGGAAGCTAGAAAGCAAATCTGAAACAAATGGACCCAGCATTCCTGGGAACACTCGTATGAGACTTCATGAATTTGTATCAAAAATAGTTATGGTTATTGCCATCTGGCAAGCACATAAAGTTTGGGAAACTGTCCCTGAAGTGCCAAGACTGTCAGTGGCACATCCATAATGTTTAGACCACTGCCTCCTCCCCTGCATTTATACTTTATTAGGAACACCTGCCAGAATTGGAGAGGGAGCCCTCATGGATTTTGTATCTCTGCCTCCACCAATGATCCCTCCACCAATGTGTGAATGAGATTGAGCACCAAGGGCTTCATGGAACAGGTCTCTATCAAATTTCTGGCTGTGACCACACAGGGAAAGACCTGAAGGAGAAGTTCCTTCAAGGGAAAGCTATGCCCCTGCTTAGCAAGGTGGAAGACATCCATGATTTATGTGGCCTCCTCAAAGATTTCATTCGCAATCTCAAAGAGCCTCTTCTCACCTTCCGTCTCAACAAGGAGGGAGCAGAAATCTCAAATGACGACAATAGTGTGGTAGCCATATATCAAACTGTTGAGGAGCTCCCTCAGGCAAGCAGACACAAAACCTAGACAGGTAAATAAAACTGGAACAATAGGAGAAGGTCTGGACAAAAAGTGTGAAATTCACTTCATTGATTTAAAAGATAACTTCTATATGATGATGTATAGGTGGCATCTGACACCAGAGAGACTTTCTAAAATGTACAAAAGTACGTATATCCAGTAACTGTTAGAAATGTGAAAGAAAAATTGGGACATTTTACCATATGTGGTGGTCTTATAAAAAGGCTTGAAAATATTAGATACACTTGATGCCAGATACTATTGTAAAGGTTAAAATTACAATAAAACCTGAACAGTATTTGTTGAGAGATGTTAGATGATCAATTAGAAAAGAAACATGAATATTATATATGATTACAGCAGCAAAAATAATGTGTGCTTAGAGATGGAAAGAACCAGATAGACAGGCACAAGAAGATTGGCTGATGGAAATATATGAATTAGGAGAGAGGGACAAATTGACAGTGTTGATTAGGGAGAAATTCTTGACTAAATTCAAGAATGACAGAGACATGTTTATTATTTCTATATAGCAAAGATGGGGACAATCTTCAATCATTAGTTTTCTGATATAGAAGAGTGTCATTAAAAGTAGAAAGGTAGAAATAAATTAATACTTAAAGAAACCTACAAATAAGTTAAAATCAACAGGCAATGAGTGGGAGGCTTATAAGATAAGTTTAGTAGATGTTTGTTTAGAATGTGTATAGGTGTGTTAGTTCCCTTTTGTATATAATGAAAAATAGTTTTTATGGTAGTTTTAATTTCATTTTGTTTTGTGTTTTATGGTTTCTCTTTGTTTAAATAAAATTAATTTAAAAATAAGTTTTTGAAATACAGATAAGATTGCCTCTGATTCAAAGCAATCCATTAACTAGCAATACTGAGGATGAAGGGAAACCATTATCATAACAGATCTGACTAAGATACAGTGTAATATGCAATTATGCAGTTTGACTTGCACTTTAAATAACTTTAACTAAATATTTTCCCTCTTTACATGAGTGTTGACTAAGGATTTTCTTTCTTAAGTTTTTTGTTGACTAAGGACTTTGCAATCTGTCCTGCAGCTTCTCCGTAAGGGTTGCCAATGATTATTCCTTCAGTTGCTTCACTGTGGTAATCCACAAAGAACATCTGTTCTCATTTTAGACACCAAATCTAATGTATGCTCAGAGATGGAAAGAACCAGATATACAGGAGGCTTTTAAAAAGCCATTGAAGTAGGTGAGTAGCAGTACTTACTAGAAAAAGCAACTGTAGGCCAGAAAATTGAGATTTCATAATTTGAAAGACAATGCATTAAATGAAATAAAATACATATTAATTTAATTTTGTTCTATTAATATGGGTTTGGGTGTAACATCTTCACAACAGATGATAATTTCCCATGTTAAAATAATCCTTATCATATTACACTAGTAGGATTGAATCCTCAGTCTCCCAACCAGTAAAATTATTTCAGGTGGTGAGGAGTCTTTGGGGTACAAGCCCAAAGAGCTAAGGTAAGCCAGTACTGCCATCAGCAATGGACTGGATGAGGGCTAAAATATTGAAATTGAATCCTGTCAAGTCAGAGGTACTCCTTGTCAGTTGTAAGGAAGATCACGATATAGGGGTACAGCCTGTGCTGGATATGGTTACACTCCTGCTGAAATTGCAGGTTTGCAGTTTTGGGGTGATCCTGGACTCATCGTTGACACTATTTGAAGCCCTAAGTGGTTTGCTAGCTTAATATTGATGAAGCACCTCTACTATTAAGGTCTGCTAGAGGGAGATCCTTCATGTCCTTTTGGTAAGATCCCTACACTGTGTTGAGACATTAGAGAAGGCAGTCTCAGTAGTGGCACCTCAATTATGAAATGTCCTCCCTCTTGATACAATAGATTAATAGAATAGTTTTATTGTAATTGTAGTATTGCACAATGAAATTAAATGCTGTAACAAAGATCCACTAATAAGGATCAGCGAATGCTTGGGCAGAGGGGAACAATCAATCCCACCCCTGCCCAACAGTGTGAAGGTTAACGTTCAGCTGGACACTACTTTAACGATGATAAATGACTAAGACAAGGGGGAAAGACTCTCTCATCCCACCTCAGCAATATTGTCAAGTGACCAACTGTATTAATGTTGTTAATGACCGATGTAATAGGTAGGTTCGCCGCCACCACCTCAATTAATGTCTGAGGAAAACATAAGTGTGAATGTGAAATAGGTAAAATATATTAAAGCCCTTAGTTCTTCTTTAACAACTGCTTCTTTTGCTGACTGGACTGAAATTGAGTTATCTTTAGGCTAGCTGAGATCTAATGATTGTAATAGACCGAGGCAGACACCAGTTTAAAGATGAAATACAAACAGGTTTATTTAAACTGGGTAAACAAATCAACTCTTAATAAGAGTGGTACAAAAGCGTAATGTGGTTACATGAGGCTTAGCTGTTTAGACAAGCAGTCTTCCTTTAAGACTTTAACTTTTGTTCCCCAGTGAGTTCCTTGCCTCACACTGGCCACTACACTGACGCAGTGTGTCCTTGAGAACAGCCCACTGACTGCCTCACAGAGCAAAATAGGCTTTCCTTCACTGACCCCACTCTGTACAGTGAACCAGGAACCTTTGCCTTTCCTATGCTCTACTCCCAAGGCTCACTTCAAAAGTTTTCCCTGTCTAAATTCCTCTCAGCTCCCTCTTCCTAAAGTACTTCTTCACTCTACAATGTTTTAAAGCCCTTCTCTCCAGCTTGTCAAAAGACACAGCCTTTTCCCTCTAAAACCTAACTCCTCCCCTGACTGTTCTAGCCAATCAGGAGTCAGCTGACTCCTCCCTCTTGCCTCTTAGCTCTCCTGCCTATCTCTGAACATGTCAGCTACTGACTTTCCAGGCTTCGGCCTTCCTGGCAAAAGGTTAGATTCATGTCAAATGCCTTCTCCAGCACACACCAACTGCTGCTAATACTTGTGTCATTTAGACACCAAATTCAAATTTGACTTTTTATTGGACCTCATTAATTCAGCTGGAAGACAATCATAATTGGCCATGAGTAATAGCCTATGATGATGAAGGTTGTACATGCTTGTTTTTTAAAAAAAACACCTTGTAATTCTTTTAAATCTACTTAACTTGTTTTGATGCCCTAAGAGCTTTTATATAACATTATTATAATTATTCTTAAAATATTACTTATACTATCAGATAACTTGGGGAAGCTTAACCAATAGCTGTTGACTGGCTCTACAAAGTTTCTTGCATTCTGCAGGACAAACTTCTTTTGCAATTGAACATGATTCTTGACACCAAGTTGCAGCCAGTAATCCCCCTACCCAAAATGTACCAGCATCATACACATATTTGTCACATACTGACTTCTTTCATTTGTAGACATGCATTTCTTGAGTGTCCACCTGGCAATGATAGCTTAAAGGTGGACAAAATCAGTGGAACTTAAGTCCCATTGCTTTTAATAAGAGGCATGATTGACATGTTCAACTGACTTAAGCTATAAATCTGACAATTCTTCCATGGAACTACTTATTTTGAGTAGATATACATAAAATTTTCCAATATTTTATTCCAAATTAAAATTGAATAATTGAAATGGACACTTTATTTGTTTAAAAGTAATCAGTATGTTTGTAATTTCATTAATTAAAGTGTCCTTCTAGGCTTTGAATTATACTGAACTTTGAAAGAGGGGTGGGAATTCCCAGTAGCCCTATCCAGTATTGACAACTATGCAGAAAGCTGAGAGTTGCAGTCTACATTATACAGCTGTAAAGGGCTACATGATTCCAACCCCTGATTTCAGAATTTTGTTTGAGCAAATAGCTGAACACTCCACTTATCCTCTATTCACATGTGGGGAAAACTGTTCTAATTTCTCCAACATTTTATAATAGTTTTTGCTTGCCAGAGACAAAATTGCTGACAGACAGTAATCAAATTCAATGTTATTTTCATATTTCCTTAGGTCAATTTTTTTGCATGTCAGCTCTTTGCACTCTTGGCTGCATTTTGGTTTCGGTCGTACTTAAGTCCCAGTCATGCCAGCTCTGGTGTTCGCCATGCTTTTGCCACAATTTTTGGAGTGTATTTTGCTATCTTCTGCTTTGGTTGGTGAGTAATTGCTTTTAACTGTATTAAAATTGATTTATTGTATAGATGGTGTTCCTGTTGTTCCTGTTATGTCTATAAGTCATTTATAAGTCATGAATCTAACAAGCATTCAAGCAGTCAACTAGAGAACAATTTAGAGTTCAAAATTAAGTGTTGTATCAATAACAAGATGTTTTTAGATTGGGAGTACAAGGTGCAGCTTTGGAATTGCATGTGAGTCCCCTCAATACCACTATTTCTTTTCTAGCAAAAATATGGTGAATTGATGTTTCTAGAAGCCTCTGGATGCAATAATTTACTTTTTAATAGGGCACAAATTATTTTTTAACATTTTAAAAATGCTCATTTTTGTGTATCAGAAATGAACTGCAAGAAAGTGTTGGGATTGTTTTATTGTATTGTACAAAAGTCAATTGAAAGTTTTGTGGTATAAAAGCACTCTCCTTATATGTTGATTCCTGTAATATTGTCTATCCCAGTGTGAGAGGAAGTTACCTCTAAAATTCAGTGTATTATATGGGTTCAAATGTGTGACTAATTGGCATGGTCTTTTCACAAGAAGCCGCTTGTCACTATGGGAAGAGAACACTGGGCTTTAGATGCACTTTGTCTGATTTGAAATTTTAAATATTTTTTTTGCATTTAGTTTTCTACTGTACAATGTAGATAATCTAGTTACTCTATAAAAGACTTTGTCTTCCCTGCTATTCATCATTGATCTTTGAAAGTTAAACAATTTTCTTCTTGTTTTCAAGGTACTCCATCCATATTTTTGTTCTAGTGATGATAAGCTACAGCATCATGATCCTGGCCAGTATTCCCAACATTCACAGGTAAGAAAGATTTGTTTATCTTCCTTGTTTTCTCCCATTAAGTTACTCATCAGGTTGCTCACTTTGTACTTATCCTCAGTCTTGTAGTTTCTCAATTTTAAATGTGTGGGAAATACAGCATTTGCTGCTGAGCTATAAACCTTACTGGGAAGTCTAGAGGAAGTGATCTTGTCACAGAAACAGGAGACAATTTTTAATAGCAAACCATCAATTCACCATATTTTTCTAGCAAAAATATGGTGAATTGATGTTTCTAGAAGCCTCTAACGTTGTAGTTATTAAAGATTATGGTTGTCACTTTCTAAAAGTAAAATGGTTGAGGGTCAGGATAAAGAAAGCTACACTTCCTTCCATTGTTATGTCTGCTTTTTGTGTAGGGAGCCTTCCGCAGGTACTTTCACTAGCTGATGTGGAGTTGCAAAACCTAGTCTGTGGAACTCCTGGTTGTAAGTGGTGGACTGTGATTCTGGAGACCGGAGTTTGATTCCCCTCACAACCATAGAAACCAGTTTGGTGGCCTTGGGTGAGCCACACATTCTCAGCCCCAGAAAGCCCCTTGACATGGATATCTTGGGGTCACCATATTATACAAATGTGTAACTATCTACTAAAGGACAGACTTTCCCTGACTTCTGGATGTCTGTAAATTGGCTTACACATTCTGGCAATTTGTATTCTTGCTGATGTTTTAGGTTTTCCCTTTTTTATGTGATGCAAATTTGCCTTAATGCCTTACCCTTCCTTTTATAACTGCAGTCCAAAGTCCTGTAACTGCAGTTCTTTAATTAGCAGCTTGTTTATGGTGCCATTTTGCTGACATTAACATCAGCCTTCTGTTTCCCTGTATTATATTAAAAGCAGCATTTGTAACTTTGAGCATTCGTCAACATATGTTTATATAAGTAAATCAAAGGCTAATAGCCTGTCTTCCATAAGGCATTTTCAGTAAATGTTTGATATGAATCAAAATAATGACAATTAGAGGAATGGTCCTTTCATTTCCATCAGTAACAAGGAGAACATTAAAAAAACCTCCCAAAACTAGATGAAAAAGCTAACAGCAAAAAAATCATGATCTCCTCTTCTATGCTGACCAGCAATAGCTGTCAGAGCTTGGGATGAACAGTAGAACCACTGGTCTGTTCACTAGCCCATTGACTTTGTATTGGATTGTTGTTAAAAGCTTTTAATAGGAAGCAACAGTCCAATACAAAGTCAACGTGGAATATGAGGCAGTGCTTGCTGGGGAAGACTTTAACTGAGCATGTTAAGCTTCCACGTTTAAAACACCTTAAAATGACAAAATAATCAGGATGGCATGAGCTTGTTTGGGTTGTTGTAGGATTTTCAGGCTATATGGCCATGTTCTAGAAGCATTACCTCCTGACATTTCGCCTGCATCTGTGGCAGGCGAAATGTCAGAAGAGAATGCTTCGAGAACACAGACATATAGCCCGAAAAACCTACAACAACCCAGTGATTCAGGCCATGACAGCCTGCGACAATACAATGAGCTTGTTTGTTTTGACTTTTAGATACTGTTTTGATAAAACGTCAGTTCTCTGAAATAAATGCATATATTTCTAGGTACTCTTTTATGGTAGCTATGGGATATCTCACATTGTGCCACATTAGCCGGATATACATATTCAGTTATGGTATTCTTACTACAGATTTCTCTGGGTAAGTAATGGTAACACTTATATAATAATATGTTTCTATCTATCTATATTAATAAGTCAAAGTATGTTTGTATATGTGTGTATGTGTTTGTTCCACAAAGGTTCCTACATGGCTTTATGGATCTGAACCAAACTTGCTACACATACCCTTCATTATCCAACTTGAAATTCTGGTGAGGTTGCACATGAAAAAACCACTCTGAAAAAACCTCCAAACATTGAAAAATATGTATGTAGCACTCAGATGCAACCACCAGAAGGCAGTCTATAGATAGAAAGGCCACCTCACATGAGCCTCCTGCTGAAGTCCTTAGATGCAACCACCAGAGGGCAGCATATAGATACAAAGGCTACCTCAGAGGAAACTATGAGAAATGGAAGAGGGCAACTGTTGGCAAGGAGAACTTTTGAGATGTTTTTAACTGAGGTAAAAAAAAAAAAGGGAAGTGATCTGGAGAAAGGAGGAAAGAGTTCTTAAGATGACAGAACCTAGATAATAATTGAGTTCCAATATTCAGAGCACTGCATTTTTTATGCATGGAGAAAAGAATTAATGAATCTGTGGTGAGAACCTGAATACTGAAACTATTATAAAGCAGAAGCTTACCGGTTTGTTCCCCAAGTATGCTATTTGTAATCGGAACATAAAATCGTAAAGTTAACCACAAGTATTTGCAATAAACAGCATAATAAAATGTATAACCTGGGCAATAGTCTAGTTCGGTACAAAATGCAGAGAATTCTAGCAGATTTGGGGAATTCAAATTGTATTTTTATTTGTTAAAGTTTGTTTAATTTATTTTATTATTATTGTGGTAGAGTATTTTATAACATTTTCAGGACAAATTAAGTATATACTAGTTGATCTATAGTGTATATAGTAGTTGATCTAGCTGACTGGTAAATCAACACCAAAACAGAGCTAACATATTTAGTAAGTAGTTGAAACTATCAATTTGATTTAGGCCAAGGGGGCGGGGGGTGGGGGAAGAGAGAACATTGTTTTTGCTTCTTTTTACAAGTAAAAGCCAACTGTTGTGATAGCCTTTATGTAACTGCATGCCTTACTTTTTATGCAAAGAGGATTATGTTGGTAAGTTGCTCTTCTCTTTCTGTATTTCTCACATTTTATAATGTTCCTTGTGTTTGATTTCAAATAACAACTGATGGTTGTTTAGATTTCAGAGAAATGAGGATCCGTATCTAAAGAGGTTTCATACAAAGTCTTTAGCCTTTAATTTGTCTTCATATTCTTCGCCATTTAGAGACATTTATTAATTTTGCTTCAGAAATGCATACTTTCACTTAATCAGTAAAATTATTGTTTCAGGGCTGGTAAAGATTTTCCCTGACATTTAGTCTAGTTGTGTCCGACTCTGTGGGGTGGTGCTCATCTCAATTTCTAAGCTGAAGAACGGGCATTGTCTGTAGACACCTCCAAGGTCATGTGGCCAGCATGACTGCAGGGGTGCTATTAACTTTCTGCAAAGGTGGTACCTATTGATATACTCACATTTGCATGTTTTCAAACTGCTACGTTGGCAGAAGCAGGGCCTAACAGCAGGAGCTCACCCTGCTCCCTGGATTCGAACCACCAGCCTTTCGGTCAGCAAGTTCAGCACTCAGTGGTTTAACCCATTGCACCACCAAGGGGCCCTTATGCATGCTAAACCTGCTGAAATTCAGTCTTCTGCACAGCATGGCATAGAATCCTTGCTTTCTTTGGGGTTTTATTATTATTATTTATTTGCTTCACTTTTATACCGCATATTTCAGCCTTTAACAGGCGACTCAATGCGGTTCACAGTGCAATTAAAACAACAGTGATACAAAAACCGGYACGACTAGTCGCTCCACAACAATCAACATCAGACAGACAACCCACAAACAACATATACAACGCCTCCATTAAAGTCAGATCCATTCTCATAGTCATTATGCCGTTCCTATATTCAGTTACCATCTTCCTTAGTTAGTTGCATTACTTAGCCAAACGCTTGCTCATAGAGCCAGGTCTTGACCATTCTCCGAAATGCCAGCAACGAAGGTGCCTGTCTGATGTCRGCTGGCAAAGCATTCCARAGCCGAGGGGCCACCGCTGAGAAGGCCCTGTCRCTCGTCCCCGCCAAGCGCACCTGTGACGCAGGCGGGATCGAGAGCAGGGCCTCCCCAGATGATCTTAATGTTCTAGTCGGTTCGTAGGCGGAAATGCGTTCGGAGAGGTAAGCGGGGCCAGAACCGTTTAGGGCTTTATAGGCCAAAGCCAGCACCTTGAATTGAGCTCGGTAGCGAATTGGCAGCCAGTGGAGCTGGCTCAACAGGGGAGTTGGTTACTGATTTGTATTTTGCACATCTCATTCCTAGTTGGCAGCTGTAGAAAATACTTCTTACAAAGCAGACCACCAGGAAACCACATTATTGCTAAAGTGACATGTTTCACCACTTTCTGAAGGACTCTTAGATTACATGCCAGGTTTTTTGACCGTGAAATTGCTCACACTCTGCTTTATCCTGAAATAGAAAAGCCAATAGACATTCCATTTTGCTGCTACTTCAAGTTGACTCTTACTAACAACATCCTTATCACATCTCTGTTGTAAATAAATTCTTCTCAATCAAGAAAGCCATGGCCCTCGTTTGAAAGACCTGTAATGGGTTTCATGGAGGTATCTCATTCATAGACTTGCCATAAGTTGAAACAATGTATAACAACTAACAGAAAGAAGGGAAGAAATATGTGAGAAAGACAAGAAAAGACTGAAGTACACTCAATTGTTATGTTAAGAGTTAGCTAAATCCTGAGGTTAAGACTCAACCAGCTTCCAAGTATCATCTTAGTAAGTGTACCTAGCTTTGTTCCTCCTTTCCAATTGTGTGTTACAATAAGCTTGTTCACACAAAAGTGATATAAGAGGCCTTTTCTGAAAATAAACATACATAATCAAGCTTGGAAAAGAATTGCTTTTTGACTGCATCACCCAGAATTCTCCAGCTAGGGATCTTTGGAGTTGTAGATCCAAAAGTTACTTTTCCAAGCCCTGAATTAAACTTTGTAACCTGTCAGATTTGACATGTGTGTCTTTCTCCCTTGTATTATAGCCCTTTGATGATTATAACACAGAAGATCACAATTCTTGCTTTCCAGGTACATGATGGTAAGAAAGCAGGCATTTCTACTTTCTATCCAATCTCCTATGTGAAATTCTGTAAATAGATACTGCAGCCTTTGGTCTCTTCCATACAGCTGGGTTATATGGCAGTGTGGACTCAGATAATCCAGTTCAAAGCAGATATTGTGGATTATCAGCCATGATATTATGGGTTATATGGCTGTGTGGAAGGGCCTTTTGGGGGAAAGTAAGAAGTTTATGTAAGTTTTGCCAAGGTCTTAAATCAAGTTTTTCCTTTATTATTATTGTGGTAGAGTATTATATAACATTTTCAGGACAAATTAAGTATATAGTCCTGAAAAATAAAAATTAAAGAAATCAAAATAAGCTGGTTTGCACTACTGATCTTCCTTAGCACTTTTGATTTGCTTTGCTGCTTTCAAATAATTTTAAGAGAATTGAGGTATCACAGGTTCTGCCAAATGCCAAGTTCACTGATTTATTGTGGAGATTCTGAGACTAGGCCCTTCTACACTCACCCAATATGCAGGCCCAATGCTTCATATCATATGCCAGATCAGGCCCACATTGGGTCCTCACAGAGACTCCCTAAGGGCCCTTCCACACAGCCATATAACTGAGAATATCAAGGCATAAAATCCCACAATATCTGCTTTGAACTGGGTTATCTGTGTCTACACTGCCATATTTTCCAGTTCAAAGCAGGGTTATTTAGCTGTGTGGAAGGGGCCTTAGCCTCCTTGGAGTCGTAAAGGAGTCCCTACTCCCCAGCTACCCTGGATACTCTCCACTCCACATACATGTTGCGGAGTTCCCATTTTAACATGGCACATACCATCTTCCTGGTGCTCCACCTGATGTCAGGCATAGTGCTGTCACACCGAGGGGGAATAGAGTGGGGGAGGAGGAAAGATTTCCAGTGGCTCAATGTATATAAACTTTCTTGCATACTATTATTACAAATATTATATAAAATATTACCTTCAGAGTATATATGAAACATAAATAGATTTCATGTTTAGACTTGGATCCCATCTCCTCATGACAGAGTTACTATAAGCCAGAAATTACTTGTTGGCGTGCAACAATGCGGATATTCCAAAATCTGAAATCCAAAAACCTTCTGGTCCCAAGCATTTTGGATAAGAGATACTCAACTTGTATCACAATGTGCTTTGAGCTCCATATTGAAAAAGATGCCATTATAACCCAGAGTACTTATGATGGATATGTAAAACAACTGAAACCAATATGCATTCATTGTTAGAAACGTTTTGGGGCCCTTCCACACAGCTGTATAATCCAGAATATCAAGGCTGGTGATCCACAATATATGCTTTGAACTGGATTATCTGAGTCCACACTGTGATATAATCCTGTTAGATGTGGATTTTATATAGCTGTGTGGAAGGGGCATTGGTTCCTTTGTCTTCACTGGAAACCATATGATTGATTAGCATGGTAAGGTTTTTTTAAAAAAAAATGAAAGCAGTTATGCTACAGAAAACTAGTTAATAATCCATAGGACACACAATGCAGTTTTCATTAATATACTTACTATCACTAGTATTGTAATACATTATTATCTGCAGCTTTTCTTCGTCTTCAAGTGTGTGATTCAATTATTGTCTCATTTATTCTTGCTAGGAATTGGTCGAAAATTGGAAGAACTAACTAAAGAACAGAACGAGCTCGCTATAAAGTAATGGCATAACTCTTCTATTGATCTGATCTTTTAAAAAATGTATTTGTGTGTGCATGTGGAGTGTTTGTTTAGTTTAGTTTTGTGACTTAATAACTAGACTTCCTTCAGTATTACATTATTCTAATGCAAATAATTTTTCATATACTTTAGAACACTGAAGTTATTATTTTAGGGAGCATAGAAATAGACTGATCTTTTAATGTATGCCTATCCACCAACTCTATGCAGTGATGCCCGTGTGTGAACGGAATATCGGCTATTGAAATATTCCAAAATGGGCATTTAGTTCTTTTTGTAATTTTTTGCCTTCTATCAGGCTTTCTTTTCTGTATGTATACTATGTATTCTACTTACACTTTTCCTCTAGCTTTCCAAATGACAGAAGAAACCAAATCCTTCTTCAGGATACAGTGTTTACATTAGCAGCGAAATGAAATGATAATTAAATAGAATCAGTAGAACAGAGTGTGCATTGGAGGAACCAAAAAGCTTCTAAGGGGAAATTGCTTCAGGCGGTGATCCTAATCATTCTTCCTTGTACATTCTGTTGACAATTATAGAATGAGCTTACTTCCAAATGAAGGAATGGGTAGTTTGAAACAAAAATATCCCTTTTGTTCACTCTATTAATAAACATTGAAATGCCGAGTGCAGTTACCTAGTTAATTTCTGAAATTGTTGCATGCCAACAAGTAATTTCTGGCTTATAGTAACCCTATCATGAGGTTTTCTTGGCAAGATAGGCCCAGAAGGGGTTTGCCTTGGCCGCCTTCTGAGGTTGAAAAAGAGTGACTTGCCCAAGATCACCCAATGAGTCATGGCTGAATGGGGATTCAAATCCTGATCTCAAGAGTAACAGCCAATTAAAATTAACTAGGTAACACATTTCACTGTAGCTCTATCCAGACATTGAATTTGGGGTTAAACTGCACACGTGATAAGACAGACCCTGCTATTCTCCCCTCCACCAAGTCTGTGTACATCCCATTGAAACCCCTAATTTTCTAAGGCATTCGTTGTGCTTCTCTTGCACACAGGAGCTCAGATAATATGTCTTCCATACATTCAATTTAGTTATTAATAAATTGAATATGGCTTGTATCTTTGTGCGTGCATGTGCTTCTCTTTCAGATCCAGATTAAATTAGTGGACTCTTATAGATTTGATTATCTTATTGGTTTGATTATCTTTTGAGGGTCCTCTAGAAATGGTCATCTTTAAGCAAAGGCATGCAACCTATATACATCCCATTTCAATGAAAAATAATTTTAAAATACTGGAGATGGCACAAACTATGATGGTTGCTAGAATGGAAAGGCTGCCTACGAATGACCTGTGATCACTCTTCAGATTTGCTCACTAAGGGGCTCTTAACTTGCTATTCATAATCTTGTTTTCTATTTAAGGAGGATGTTTCTTAGATACTGTACTCTAGTACAGTAGATCCACAAATGCTGTATTCTTTTGCTTTCAGATTATATTTATCTTATAACAAGAAATACATTCAGTGATGTTTGGCTTTATATTGGTGGTTCAGTATGTACATTGGGGTGGGGGTGGGGGACTTGATAATAACAGTTTTTAAAATTTATTTCATGCATTGTCAAGTTTGGTGAAAATTAATTCATAAATGTGTACTCAAGAGCAAAAAAAGAGATAAATATTTTTTAGGGAGATATTTGCTTTTGGTCCCATTATATAAAATATTTATTTACTGTAGTTTTACCCTGCCCTTCTCATCTCGAAGGGGACTCAGAGCGACCTAATTTGTTGATATTTTGTTTGCATTTGAGTTTGTACAGCATAGAAAGAAGATAAACACTCTATATTAAAGTTCAGATAAAGAATTAATCCTATTTCATGTGCTATTAAAAAACTTATTTTTTTCTTTAAGCAAGTCACATTTTTAAAATTACTTGTGATTGTTTTAACAGAACAAAACCTTCCTTACTGGAGTATCTGAGCTATCACCTCAATTTCCTGAGTATCCTAGCAGGCCCATGTAGCAATTACAAGGACTACATAGCCTTCATTGAAGGCAGACATGTGCAGATGAAGTTGTTAGAGGTCAACTGGAAGGAAAGAAATTGTGAAAGACTTCCTGAACCTTCTCCAGTGGTAAGCTGCAAAATTCAAAGTCTCTTTTTTTTTTCAAATGATTTGTAAAATTATTACTATTAATAATGATCAGGACACAAGAGAAAAACATTCCCACATCATAATAATAATAATAATAATAATAATAATAATAATAATAATAATTTGTATTCTGCCCTATCTCCCTGTGGGGACTCAGGGCAGATTCCAACATACACAAACACAAAGGAAAACATTCAATCCTTAGAAACAACCAAACACAGGTAAAGGCTTCCCCTTCTGGCTCTGGGGGGTGGTGCTCATCTCCATTTCTAAGCTGAAGACCCTGTGTTGTCCGTAGACACCTCCTAGGTCATGTGGCCAGCATGACTACATAGAGTGCTGTTACCTTTCCACTGAGAGTACTGCATTTCACTAGCTATGCCTTTAGTGGCGGAACGGGTTAAACCTATTGATCTACTCACATTTGCATGTTTTCAAACTGTTAGGTTGGCAGAAGCTGGGACTAAACTGTGGGGGCTCACCCCATCCTGTGGATTAGAACTGCCAACCTTCTGGTCAGCAAGTTCATTAGCTCAGTGGTTTAACCCGTTCCGCCACTAAAGGCATAGCTACTGAAATGCAGGACTCTGTTATTACTAAAGATCTTTTGGAGAATCCAATGTTATCCCCAGATATTAGATGCATTTACACTATAGAATTAATGTAATTTAACACCACTTTAACAAGCATGGCTCAATCCTATGGAAACATGGGAGTTGTGGTTTGATGTGGCACCTAGTCAATCTACAACTCTCATGATTATATAGCATTGATCCTTGGCAGCTAAACTGCATTAATTAGATAAGCAGATGCAGCCGTTGATCACATTATGTCCATTGTTGTTTGCAATCTTATGCAAACTGTATTTTGTCTTTCTTTGGCCAAAATAGCAAATTGTAGTTTTTTCCCCTCAAAATTAGAATTACGAATGGATGGAAGGGGAGAAGAGAACAAATGTAATAACAAATTGTGACTTGTCTGGGTTAAAGCACTGAGCTGCTGAGCTTGTTGATCGAAAGGTCACAGGTTCGATTCCGGGGAGCGGCGTGAGCTTCCGCTGTCAGCCCTAGCTTCTGCCAACCTAGCAGTTCGAAAACATGCAAATGTGAGTAGATCAATAGGTACCGCTCCGGCGGGAAGGTAACGGCGCTCCACGCAGTCATGCCAGCCACATGACCTTGGAGGTGTCTATGGACAACGCTGGCTCTTCAGCTTAGAAATGGAGATGAACACCACACCCCAGAGTCAGACATGACTGGACTTAATGTCAGGGGACTACCTTTACCTTTTATGTCATTATTGTGCCACCAATTCTTTTTTCAGAAGGAACAAGTATAGACAGTAGGTAATTCTGCTGCTTGCTGATTTCTTACAAATGTTTATGTCCAGGATTTTTTTTGGCACTTGGCTTGTCTTACCTGTGAACTGATTGCAGCAATGTTTTATGGTTCTTTCTAGGGAGCAGTGCTGCACAAACTTGGTATCACACTTGTATCGCTGCTTTTGTTTCTAACACTTACCAAGAATTTCCCAGCAACATGTCTTGTTGATGATCAATTTATCAACGAGTCCTCGTTCTTGTCAAGACTTGGTTTTCTGTATCTTGTTATGCAATCTTCAAAACCAAAATACTATTTCGCATGGACACTTGGTAAGACTCTTTAAAAATAAAATGTGTGCACATGCTTAAAGTTAATGCAATGGTTTTCATTATTTTTGTTGATATAAATGTCTTATGGCAAATGATCTCATGAACAAAATTAGTGCATTCCTGCACTTGCTGCTGAGAATATAACTTCTGGTCAAAATTTTGTGATTGCTCTAACAGGGGAAAACAGGTGTTAACATGTATAACCACCACTTTTGGACAATTAGGCATGCTAATGTTTATCAAATTTGTGTGATATTTAACTTACATTTGTGTAATTTTTACATATTGTGCCCATTCCCTATCCAACTTTTATGTGTCATATGAATATAATAGTTATGTTGGGGTAAATTGACCAGCATTTTGTTTCCTCAGTGGTCAACCATGCAGCAGGGCATACATGCTCATGTTCCCTACCATATTGTATGCAAAGATGTCCCTTATTGCTATGCCAAATACAAGCTGATAGAGGATCAATAGTCACCCAGTCTATTTCACATACTAATGATTGGGGTCCCTTCTTCGCTGCCATATATCCCAGGATCTGAGCCCAGATTATCTGATTATCCCAGATTATAGGGCAGTGGAGACTCATATAATCCTGTTCAAATCAGATAATCTGGGATCAGATCCTGGGACAGAGGGCAGTGTAGATCCAAACAGGATAGGCATCCGTCTGTCCCAATTCTGTTGTGTTCCTGAACCAGTGGCAGGAGTGAAGTCCTGACAACCCAGTAGAGCCAAACCTGGTTCATGCCTATTGGAGGTCATTCTTGGAAAGGGAAAGGGCAGAGCAATCCCTCTCATCTATCCAAGTCACACAGGTGCCTCTGCTGACATTGGAAAAGGTGCCCAGTGACAATCAAGAGCTCTCTTGATATCTGTGGCTACCACTGTGGTGGCAAAGAGTGACAAAGATAAGTACCACCCCCTTTTCCCACACTGTGGAGCACAGAGAAAGTGGGATGGAGTCAGTGGCCCATGCGAGCAACGGGGCTGGTTCCAAATCAGAAGTGATTCACACTCAAATCTGAAGTGCAGAGTACGCCACCACTTTTGCTAACACAGGGTAAAATCAGGTTAGCCTAGAAATTTCAGTAAAAAAAAAATGAAACGCATAAAATAAGCATTAAAAAAACTGGCAAAAAGAAGATGTAGAATTGAGTATCCTGAACAGGTTGGACCATAAAGAACCTTCTGACCGGCATTATGATTGGAAGTCAAAGCAGTGGGGTTTCCCACCCTGAAGTGGTGAAGGCCTCTCCTTGTTCTTCAAACTGAGTCCCAAAATATCATTTACTCCCTCTTCCCTTTTTCTGCAGATTTTATCTAATGACACAGAGTATTCTGTTGATCAAATAAAGCTGCTGCTAAGCAGTGCTTGCTTGTAAAGTAGGACAGGCATGCCTTTGTGTGAGAATCAATTAACTGAATTCCCAACTTGTGGGGTGGAAAACAAGCACCAAAAAAGGAGGAGAAAGTTCGTTTTGTCCTAATGCCGACTGTTGAACTTTAGATAGGAGCCAGACGAAGAGACCAGGCTTCTAAGTAGTCTACCAGCTCAAGTTCTAGTGCAGTTCTTAAGTCTTTGGATCAGTGGGCATGATAAGACTTGTGATGCGTCGTCAGAAGCAGAAATACTAATTTATCCCATATGATTCCCAACATTGTCTGTTCACAAGCAGAGCTGGTAAAAGTTAGTTTATAAAAGACGTCTACTCCCACAGTCCACCAGCCAACTGATCCAGTCTGCTCTGATCTTAAATTCCATTTGGCTGTTGATTGAATTGAATTTCTAAATAAAATATCCTTCATCCATTGTTAACTCGACACTGACATTTAGGGAGTACTTTCCATAAATGTAAGTGGTGTAATCATTGAGCAGGGTTAGAATGAAGGCTTTCATTTCCCCCCAAATAATAATTGTGCCTCTCCAATGACATTTTCTTTCAATCTCCAAATTTCTGGGAATACAGTAATTTAAAAACTTCACTTGAGCATTTAAAGTGGGGTTTGTAAACAATTTCTAAGGGAATACAAAGAATGACCAAGGAACCGAAAACACTGCAAATACAGGGTTCTAGGTATGGATGATTTTCAGTTTCCCAGGACTCTAGAAATTTGAGGAATGAAGGAAAAAATTCATATGGACAGAATCTTTATGTGGATGGGCCAATGCCTTCATTCTCTCACCCCCACTAGCTTCTTCCCTGATGGAACTGTTTATGGATTCGGATCAGAAAAAACTATGTGACATAGGAGGGAACTGTGTGAAGGGCTTGGAATCTATGTCTCCCTCCCTCCCATATCAAGCAAGTCTTGATATGGCATGACAGTCTGGTCAAGGATGGGTAGGGCAAGAAGAAAATAAGATCCCACTAGCCACTTCTTGGGCATGTATCATGTAGTCTTTGGAGTTTAGCCTAGCATGTTTTCCCTCAATTACAGCGGATGCAATCCACAACGCTGCTGGTTATGGGTTCAGTGGTGTTGATGAGAAAGGCAATTTCCATTGGGACCTGCTGTCTAATCTGAATATCAGGAACATTGAGGTAAGTTTCATTGGGAGCTGGAAGGAGAAAAGGGAGGGACAACACAAGACTGTCAACCAAATGTCTTTCAGGATGTGCTACCTGCACAGATACGCTATAGCCGCTATTTTGTGTTTTAAAAGACCAGAAACATGGCTTGATGTGTTAATTCATCACTTCATGTTAAAATGTAAAGTCATGAAATGAAGTTTTTATAAAAATATCTCAGCTCAAGCCTCTGTCTCACCCTTTCCTTGAAAATTTGAGGGAAGAGAGTGCATTATGAGATTTGTCCCATGCATGTCTGTTTGTTTTCTGCAAAGAAGTATAAAGATTTCTTCCTTCAAAAGTTTAAAAAAGATAAAAAGACTTTTCTGAAAGTGTATGTATACTTATTGCTTGTTGTCAGTGAAAATGATTGTGCTTTTGCCTACATAAATGAACACTGAATTTCATTGCAATCACAGTTCCCAAAATTAGAGGTAAGCAAAAGATATGGACAAAGTTCTTGGTATGATACTGCATTAGACATCAATATAGTTTAAAATATGAGTAAACGTAGGTAAAAGTTTCCCCTGACATTAAGTCTTGTCATGTCCGACTCTGGGGGGTGGTGCTCATCTCAGTTTCTAAGCCGAAGAGGCGGCATTGTCAATAGACACTTCCAGGTCATGTGGCCAGCATGACTGCATGGAGCACCGTTACCTTCCCACAGAAGTGGCACCTATTGATCTACTCACATTTGCATGTTTTCAAACTGCTAGGTTGGCAGAAGCTGGGGCTAACAGTGGGAGCTCACTCCGCTCCCCAGATTCGAACTGCCAACTTTCTGGTCAGCAAGTTCAGCAGCTCAGTGGTTTAACCAACAGCATCAGGGGGGGGGGGCTTTAAAATATGAGTAGCTACTGACATTTCTTGAAAGTAAGCTATAACACATGGCACCTTCTCTTCTAGATGGCAACAAGTTTTAAAATGTATATAGAAAACTGGAATATCCAAACCACAGCCTGGCTTAAACGGTAAGACTAAAATACCAATCTATTTTTAGATGTGTGTGTGTGTGTGTGGGGGGGGGGATCCTCTCTAGTGTTTTTAGATTCCTGTACATAATGAGGGGTTGGTGGTTCTAACTATAATGCCTCCATCATACACTCTTTCAGTGGATGAGAAGAAGAGTTATGTGTCGTCGTCCCCTCTGGAATGTCTGTTGTAATAGTAATAAAGATAGGTAATGACAAATCCTTCCGTGGATGCTATTAGGTCAGTCAGAAACTGATAATGGATAGGGCCTTATGAGTAGCACCCCACATATGGGAGCTCCTTTTTTCCATGTCTTTTTCCAGTGACTTGAGAAACTGCAAGTTGTTTCTGGTGTGAGAGAATTGGCTGTCTGCAAGGACATTGCCCAGGGGACGCCCGGATGTTTTACCATCCTGTGAGGCTTCTTTCATGTCCCTGCATGAGAAGCTGGAGCTGACAGATGGGAACTCACCTCACTCCCCAGATTCAAACTGTCAACCTTTCAGTCAGAAGTCCTGCAGACACAAGGGTTTAACCCAGTGGTTCTCAACCGGTGGGTCCACAAATGTTTTGGCTTTCAACTCCCACATATCCTAACAGATGGTAAACTGGCTAGGATTTCTGGGAGTTGTAAGCCAAAACACCTGGGGACTCAGGTTGAGAACCACAGGTTTAACCCATTTTGCCACCAGGGACTCCTATGGGAGTGTCTTGTCCAACAAGGTTGCCAAGTAAACCAACTTGCCATTTTTCAATCTGACCAAGACCTCCTTGTCTAGACACCTATTGTTTTAATTTTCATGCTTATATTTTTAGTTTATATCATATAAGGTCTTACAAGAGCATTTCAAGATGTAAATTTTAAATAAAAGGAATGCAATTTTAAACATTACATTGAAAATGATTGATATATGGCTATTGGCAGTGATTTGTTCTGTATCCTAAAGTGAGAGTGGGTTGCATTAAAAGTTGATATGGGTAATTTTTCTAAGAAAGTTTCTGCATCTTGGCATAGAAAAAGCTTAACATTATTTAGTATGGGGGTGATTAATTCTAATTCCACATATCTACAGAGATAGTTGGACTCCATTTCTATAGGAAATATTTATCCTCAATAATTTATTTTAAGCATTGGAAGGAATTCAAGCTTATGTAATTGGCAGGCATTTCCAGGAAGTATGAGAGTTAATGCTGCATTCTAACTATATCAAAGGTATTGCAGAATCTCTACATGCCTCTACACATTTATAAGTCTATTTATAGCTGTACTTGCCACGCGTTGCTGTGGCCAACCTTTCCTCCTTATTTCTCTTCTTTTCTTTTTCTTCCTTCCTTCCTTCTCTTCTTTTTCCCTTCCTCCCACCTTTTCTTTCCCTTCCTCTTTCTCCCCTTTCTTCCTTCTCTACCTATCCTTGGACTGCAACACCCAGCAGTCCTTTCCACTGTGTTTTTCAGTGTTTTATGAGTGATGGTCACTCATCGGCCTGATAGCTGTATTGTGCCCAAATTTGGTGTCAATTTGTCCAGTGGTTTTTGAGTTATGCCAATCTTACAAACGAACATTACATTTTTATTTATATAGATAAAAGCATTTTTAATCAGGCAGACACATAATGGTTCATATCTAAAAAAAACCTACATGTGCTCTCTCTTTGTGTACAGAGCATACAATTCTGATCAAAGAAAGATCCAGATATGCCAAAAATCTAGGAATTAATCAGAAATGTCTTGTAAAAATCTTCCTTGAAAAAAGAAATTAGCAAAGAGCTTAAAGGATGTTAGGTGTTAAAGTCTTACCTGAAAATTCAATTGAGTTAAAAGTATTAAACATTCCTTGTACAAGAAATTGATGTGGGAATATTTTATCTGGAATGTATACATTTGAGGTCCTATTAGGCAAATTTAAAAAGAAAATGCCCATTCAGGCATCTTTAAGAATGGAAATCTGAATTAGATAAATATCAAATACTAAAATCATAACGTTTGCTGCCACTCCTTTTGATGAAGTGAAAATATAAAACACTAGTTCATCAATATTAATAATCATGAATACTTACAAAAACAGTTTTATTTAAAATGTTTTTTTTTAAGTTCTTTACAATTTGTACAGTTGACCCTCTGTACTCATTGATTCTTCATTCACGGAGCCAACCATCCACTGTTGTTGAAGGTTTTCATGGCTGGAATCACTGTGTTGCTGTGAGTTTTTTGGGCTGTATGGCCATGTTCCAGAAGCATTCTCTCCTGATGTTTTGCCCACATCTATGTCAGGCATTGTCAGAGGTTGTGAGGCCTGTTGGAAACTAGGCAAATGAGGTTTATATATCTGTGGAATGTCCAGGGTGGGAGAAAGAACTCTTGTCTGCTTGAGGCAGGTGTGAATGCTGCAACTGGCCACCTTGATTAGCATTGAATAGCTAGTTCTTTCTCCCACCCTGGACATTCCACAGATATATAAACCTCCCTTGCTTAGTTTCCAACAGACCTCACAACCTCTGATTATGCCTGCTATAGATGCAGGCAAAACGTCAGGAGATAATGCTTCTGGAACATGGCCATACAGCCCAAAAAACTCACAGCAACCCAACCATCCACTGCTTGAAATTTTTTAATTCCAAAAAGGAAACCTTGATTTTGCCATTTTATATAAGGGACATTATTTTACTCTACCATTACCTATAATGGGATTTTGGTATCCACAGGTGGTTCTAGAAGCAAATCCCAGCAAATGTATCTGTGAAGATCAAATACACTTGATATATAATCCATGTATTATGTGTATGTACCCATGAACACCCTATTTTTCTAATTTTATGTCTCTTCCCAGAGTGTGCTATGATCGAGCTCCTCAGTACCGTACAGCTTTAACATTCCTTCTATCAGCAATTTGGCATGGTGTTTACCCTGGCTATTATTTTACATTTATCACTGGCATTTTTATGACCCTAGCAGCCAGAGCGGTAGGTATATCTCTATTTATTTATTTTTGCCCTACGGGTACAATCGCAAATATAATTAGTGACACAAGATTTTCTGTTATACAATGAGCATAAATTGTAGCGATTTCCAGAACAGTTTTGTCTTGATTAGTGATAGGAACGAACAAATTCAAGTCAATTAAATTAGAAATTTTGTACTAAAAAGGAAATCCCAAGACACTGAATTTTGAAGCTTTTGTTCCTAGGACATTTTCTGACATGAAACATTTTGTAACATTTTTAAAGTGGCAAACACATTAACTAAAAAATCGGTGAGGGAAGTAGCTATTTGTAGCTTGCTTTTATGCATTGTTTTTGTGTTTTCTTTTTAAGGTAAGGAACAATTGTCGACACTTCTTCATGTCCCCAAAGCCTCTCAAGATGAGCTATGACATTGCCACATGGCTGGTAACTCAGCTCGCTGTCTGCTATACAGTTGCACCATTTGTACTCTTAGCTGTGGAGCCTACAGTAAAACTATACAAGTAAGTTATTCCCCATTTCTGTACTTGTTTTTAAACTTGGACTTCTAATTCTAATGTAAAACCTGAGGGGCTCTTTATACCAAGTTGTCTTGCATCTGGTGTCTGATGAAGGCTGAATATATTTGGTTTTGTTTGTTTGCTCATTTCATGTAAGCTTAGGCACAGGTGCTGTGTACAGTGCCACAATGTGCAGTGGCTTGCATAATGTTGTGCACTTAGATGCAAGTAACAAATACACATGTGCTAAGAATCCAGAAAGAGTGCATAGATCAGTTATAAGTCCACTGGAGCTGTGCTGTGTTAAGGCTAGATCCGATACATTTTACAGGCAGCCCCAAAGTTCCAAACAAGATAGGTTCTCTAGGTTTGCTTTTAAGTTGGAACAGGTATAGTTTTTGGTTTTGGATCGCTTTGGGAAGGGTTAACACCCTGGGGTGTTTGTTTCGCTGTCTGTGCCTCTGTTCAGAAGATTTCACCTCACTTTCTGTTCCAGTGATAATTGGATTTTGAAAACTTTGGCTTGTTGTAGAAACAAGGATTAGTGATAAAGCTTCAGTGGAAACACCTTTTCCCGATGATAACCCTTCTAGTAGTGCATTTCCCTTCCTAGAGGTATTTTCCCCCACTTCCTGTTGTCTCAGCCCCATTTTAACTATGAGTTATTTGTAAGTTGAATGTTTGTAACTCAGGGACTGTCTGAATTCAGTCATCATAACTAAAAATAGCTTCTGTGCACAATCCTTGAAAAAAGTTTGAATGTACAGTACCCTCATATTTGCAGGGAAAAGTTTCTAAACTTACAGAGGGATCAGAAAACCATTGATAATAGTTATCCTTATTGAAATGAATGATATATGTCAGAAGTGAAATGCCGATCTTTACAGTTACCAGTAGTTCAAAGATCAGCAGTCAGACTACTAACGGGCTAGCTATAGGGAGCATATCATATCCCTATTAAAGCAGCTTCACTGGCTTCCAAAAAGTTTCCGGGCCCAATTCAAAGTACAGATTATCACGTATAAAGCTTTATACACTTCGGGTCCAACCTATTTTCGAGACCACGTCTCCTTCTATGAACCAGTGTGTGCTTTGACATCTGCTGGGGAGTCCTTTCTCTCAGTCCCACCTCTGTTCCAAGTGCGGTTAGTGGGGACAAGGGAGAGGGCCTTCTCAGTGGTGATCCCCCAGCTCTGGAGTGCCCTCCCTAGAGAGATTAGCTTAGCCCACTCTCTCCATACTTTCTGATCCAGTCTAAAAACATGGCTTTTTAAACAAGCCTTTGATCTTGAGTAGATTTTAAGGGTTAGTCTGAGGACTTGGTTGCTTCACTTCAGCACTGGGCTTGTTAATTGAAAACAACCAGTTTTATCTGCAGTTATGACTACATTTTATGAATTTTAATTTTATTATGTGATATTTTATGGATGTTGTGGCTGTAATTCTCATGTTATTAGCACTTTTATGTCTATGTACTGTTTTATGTGCAGCTTGGAGTGCTTTGTGAGCTGCTCCAACTCCCTTCGGGGAGATGGTGGCAGCATACAAATAAAATTTATTATTATTATTATTATTATTATTATTATTATTATCTTCCTGAAGTCCTAAAATATTCCTCGAGAGGTATCTTCTCTTAAAATTTCCTAGATTTTGCAGTGAGTCTCTGTGATAATTTCTGGCTGAAGCATACCATAGAATTACCTGGAGAACCTAGAAAAATTCTGGAGAGGACATATTTTGTCAGATATAGGTGGATGCAGATATTATTGTGCGCTGATCTGAAACTTGGCACAGTAGAAGATGACATTTTGAAAGTAATCCATACTCATCTTTGGATAAATGCTAATTTATGGGAGCTTATAGTAGAAAGAATGATTCCCAGCAGTTTGAGAGCTATTACAGTCTTTTTTCATAGATTTGCTGAGGTTAAAAAAATCATTTCCTCCCTCTGGAAATCATATTGCTGGAGTAAAGTAAATGCCTGTTGTGGACACTTGAAAGATCTCCTATTCAGAGTCAATATGTACAAAGATAAGCCTTCCAAATACAGTTGGACTCTTCCCAGGATATTTATTGTAATGGGCTATGAAGAAAGAGCTGCCTTTCTTTTCCAAAGATTTTTACTGTCCAGAAATACTATATATTCTTGCAATAATGCAAGTGATTTTGAATATGCTAGGTCACAACTTCCATTAGTTTATATTCTGGCTTCTTTTATCTTTGTCATTCCTAGGTCACTGTATTTTCATATGCACGTTCTATGTGTACTTATTTTGCTCATCCTGCCCATCAAGTCTCCGAAACACATAGAAAAGGAGCAAGTCGCATTTCAAAGAACAAATCACTTTGAAATAAACAAGAAGCAAAAATGATCCTTCAAAAGGGAATTACTCATCCTCTTCTGTGAGAAGCTGGAAGAAACGGCACAAGGAATACATCGCTGCAGTGGTTTCATTTAAAACACTTTTTAAAAGACAGAACAAAACTTGACAGATTTAATGGCCAAACTTTGTTCCTGGATAATGTTTACATTCTTGATTGGAAAAGATAATAGCTTTTATACTGTATATGTTTTTGTGTTAAAGAAAATGTTTCTAATGTATTTAATTTTTCGCACATATTTTTCAACCCTTAATCTCTGACTTAATTAGCCAGTATGTTTGAGACGAAGAAAACATTGATTTGTTGGGTTTGTATATTGGCAAGGTAAATGCCAAAAATGTTTTTCTGTCTTTCAACCACCCCATGCACCACCTTCATTAATCAATCAAAGACAGACTAAATATCTGTAATGTCCTAAGTAGGGGATGGAAGAATTTCATGGATGTCTTTCCTTATTACACCAAAAAATTTGTTGGTGGATCTTCCAAAGTGAAATGTTTCAGAACTGTTAATCTATACAAAAAAAAAAAAAAAACAGCTGAAAGGCTGTGGAAGCCATAATCAGATAACAGGAGAATCATGGAACACTGAATATTGTTCCCCACATTGTTAAAATTAATGTAATTATATTTGTATTGAAATGACTGAATGAAGAGTGCTTGGGAAACTTTACCAAGCCTCCCTTCATATTTTGTCTGTATACTCAACATTGAAGGTGGGAATTTCCACACTTCTCCAAACATGTTTAACTGGTGCTCCATTTTTGTCTGATGTTGCCTGCATCAGGCATTCCTTAATATAATTAGACACATAAAGACAAATTACTTGGATCATTGAAATTAACTCAGGGAGACTTTGCATTAAAGCACTTGGATCGACGTTTTTCAAACCATGTGCCTTTGAAATTACCTGAAGTTTAAAATGGTGCTTTTGTATTTTAAAAATCTAGATTAATTTCCCCTGTTAATTATTTTAAAATAAGATATTTTATTGTTAAATGGAACAGGGCAAATTAAACGTTAATTGAACAGGATTTTGAGTGTATCTTTTAATTAATACTTGTGGTAAACAGAAGACATATTTTGGTTTTTTATTCCCTGATATTAAATCTATCCTTAATATTTTTTATACCTGGGACATAAGAAATTGCTTCCTGAATGACTCATTTTCAATCATTGAGAAGTCCACAAACAACGCATAGTGTCTCCTCTCCAAAGTATGATGTTTCCAAAGGTGGGCATTCCTGGTGAGTAGCTGTTGATAGATCTGAACTCTGTAAAAGTGTCATATACTTTTTCTTTTATAAAACTAAAGTTTGAAAGTTGTCTCCTCTTTTCTTGAAGATATGCAAAGTTGGTAACAAAACCAGCTTTAAAATGATGCATAGCAGTGGTGACATCTAGTGGTTCCTGTGATGCATTGACCTGTTCATTAAATTTCATTTTACATTTATTGGAAATGTTTCTGCTTGTATGTGGGAGATAGAGCTGCTTTGAGAAGTAAATGGGATACTGATTGAGCAACAATTTCTTGCTTGCTTTTCACTAAGGGTTTTTTTTGTTGTTCTTTGGATAGGTAAATGAATTAAACATGTTTTGGGTGGGTGGGAAGGAGTGGATTTGATCCAAGAATTACTAGTTGCTGATCTCTAAAGAAAAGGCTGTTCTCAGGATTTTATTTCTGTGATCAAATGGGTGATCAGCAAGAGTAAGTTATATTTTTTCTTGTTTAGATTCATAAACCTTACTTTAGTCTGGAGAAAAACATGATTCAAGGGAGTACATGAGAGAAGCCACCATGATACAGTGAACTGGGACCAATAATAACAACAACAACAACAACAACAACAATAATAATAACAATAATAATGTGCGGTTTTCTGGCATTGTATATTTCTGCCGCTTCTATGATGGTTCATTTGTATTTTGGTTCTGTAGCCCACTTGTCGATGTATGTCCAGAATCAGCAGCATCCACCACGGTCCTTTTTATCCTGGGTGTTGACCGAGCCAGTATAGACTTCGTTTTGGTTTGGTTCTCCATAGTGCTAATGGGTTAAGTGCTCTTGGTTCCACTCCTCAGCTGAGACCTCTCTGGCTTGGTTGGACCTGCTGGTAGTTTACACTACCGCCAGCACAACTCTCAGCATCCTTGGAGCAGTTAAGTCCCCCACCACAACAAGGTGGCACCCATTGGGGGGTCAGCAAGAGCCTCTATCAAGACCTCAAAATCGAAGTGCAAAGGCTTTGGCATAAACCAGTACAGGTGGTCCCAGTGATCATTGGCGCACTGGGTGCCGTGCCAAAAGATCTCAGCCAGCATTTGGAAACAATAAACATCGACAAAATCACGATTTGTCAACTGCAATAGGCCACCTTACTTGGATCTGCATGCATCATTTGAAAATACATAACACAGTCCTAGACGCTTGGGAAGTGTTCGACTTGTGATTTTGTGATACGAAATCCAACATATGGATCTCGTTTGCTGTGACATACTGTGCTTTTGTGTAAATAATAATAATAATAATAATAATAATAATAATAATAATAATAATAATATCCCAAGTGTAGACTCTGCAAGAAAGCAGATGAAACAATAGATAACATCCTCAGCTGCTGCAAGAAGATTGCACAGACAAACTGCAAGCAGAGACATGACACTGTTGCTCAGATGATTCATTGGAACTTGTGCCACAAATACCATCTGCCTGCAACAAAGAACTGGTGAGATCACAAGCCTGAAAAAGTTACAGAAAATGAACATGCCAAACTACTCCGGGACTTCAGAATTCAGACTGACAGAGTTTTGGAGTACAGTACTCCTGACCTCACGTGTTAAAAGACCAAGTATGGATTGTCAATGTTGCAATCCCAGGTGACAGCAGGATTGAAGAGAAACAACTGGAAAAGCTGACACGATACAAGGATTTAAAGATCGAACTGCAAACACTCTAGCACAAGCCCTGTTTGCCACTTTGAGTTCAATGCAAGAAATATGGGGTGTATATCTAATTGAACAAACTAAAATGGTCCAAACTTACCAAAATAACCATAGTTAGATTGTGTTCTTCCTACCTCTGATTACTGCTGTCACCTACATTCACTTTTACTCAAAAAATGGAGGAAATGCATTTTCAAGACAGAAATAGAAGCACTTTAGTATGATCTCAAGGGAAACCAGGATATATTCAGGGGTATATTCGACCAATCCTTGTGTGTGGGTAGAGGTATATTTTGTGACAGGATATTACAACTCTACTATGAGCTAAAAGCGGTGCCTCAACAACTGCATCAGATAAATGCATGATGTAACATTACCTGAACACCATTAAGCAATTTGTGCTGACTTTCCCACAGAGTAAACCATTTGGCTGAAAGCAAGTCAATAGATATATTTTGCTCAAAGAATGTAAACAGTATGGTAGGCCAGAGGGTGCTGTACTTATTGTTGGAGAATGAGTGAGTTGAATTAGTGGGTTTATAGATAATAACCACAGTGAATTGGCTACCATATTTAAGAAGATGCCGTTCTGTTTCCTGCACAGTTTTGGTTCTCGGCAGTTCCCTATATCCCATCTTGTTTTGACCAATGGTACTGCTGTAATGTTTTTCAGGGAGAAGGAGAGAATAGCAAACATCTGTGGAGCTCCTATCTTGGGATCAAAGCCAGTGCATTGTTTTGAAGTAAGGGGAAATATCTGGTCACTTGGTCAATTAGAGTGATGGTCCAAAGGGCTGGTTTAAGTTGGTCATATCTGCTGACCAGGGACATCTTTTTGTTAGATAAGCTACAAACAGAGCTACAGTTCTTATGCATTATCATGTGCATTGAATGGCTAAACTATTAAGATTTTTGGTCACGTAAAAAGGCTATCTAATTCAGCACTGTTCCCCAAATAGCTAACCAAATACCTACAGAAAAGTCCACGAGTATGTCTTGAGTGCAGTAACCTCCTCTGTTTATGTTCCTTACACACACACATACATCCAAATGCCCAAGGCAATGGAGCAATCCCCTTATTTGGGGTACTTTGCTTTTAAACAGAGGCTGGATGGCCATCTGTTGGGGGTGTTTTGAATGCAATTTTCCTGCTTTTTGGCAGTGGGTTGGACTGGATGGCCCACAAGGTTTCTTCCAACTCTGATTCTGTGAAAATGGGGAAGTAATAGGAGAGAGAATCAGTGTGATGTAGTAGTTTGAGCATTGCACTGCAGCTCTGGAGATCAGGGTTCGATTCTGTGGAGACCCACCTTGGATAAATCACACAATTTCAGTCCCAGAAAACTCAGTGGTACTTTTGCCTTAACTTTGGATGAGACATATACTCTCAGCCACAAAAACTCCATTATAGGTTTGTCTTAGGGCAGAACTTTGCAAATATTTCTTGCTGGTGACACGCTTTTTAGACATGCCTCATTTTGCAACACAGTAATTCAGTTTTACTAACAAACTGAAGGTCAAACCAACCTCTTATAAGGGATACAGGCAGGCACATACATGAATTGTAATAACAAAATGTCTGGGGATACAACATATCTCTTTTTTGTGTCAGGAACAATTTCAGAATCTGCAAGTTGCTTCTGGTGTGAGAGAATTGGCCATCTGCAAGGACATTGACCTGGGGGCGCCCAGATATTTTGATCTTTTGCCATTCTTATGGGAGACTTCTCTCATGTCCCCACTTGGGGAGCTAGAGCTGACAGAGGGAGCTCATCTGTGCTCTCCCTCGATTCGAACCTCCGACCTGTAGGTTTTCAGTCCGTGCAGGCACAAGGGTTTAATCCATTGCGCCACTGGGGGCTCCTGAACATATCTCTAAAAAAACTTTATATATTTAAAATATACGACTTATTCCTTATTTCACATAAACTCAGGTTTCACATTACATTCACGTGACACACACACCTCAGCTAACACACTAATGTGTCGCGAAACAGTTTGGAAAGCATGTACAACAACAAAGTAATGGGATACATGATAGAAGTACATGATAGTTATGCAACAGGTAGAAAAATATTTAGGAAGTGGTTCTCCACCTCTTATCAAGTCAGAATTTGAAATCGCCCAAAGTTCAATTGTGGAAATTAAAGATTGACTATAGAAAGGATTTCTTTGCATTATACAGAGATAAATGACAGATTATGCTATCACAAGGTGTAATGATTACTTCTAATTTGGGCAGTTTTAAAGGATGCCTAGACATTTATCTTAAATTGGATAAAGCTATCTATAGCAACTCATTGTCATTGCTGTCTATTGCCTCTGAATACCATTTATAAAACTGTGGTTTGCTTGAGTTATTTTTATTGGAATTGTCAAATGAACAATTTAAGGATATTAAATTTAAAGTGATACATTACACCATATTGGCTGCAAGGTTGTTGTATGCCCAGAACTGGGGAAAAAACTTGCTTGTAAATGAAGAATTGATTTTTAACATTTGTAAAATGCTGAAAATAGACAAATTAACTCCTTTGATCAGAGATAAGTCATTGGAAAACTTCTTAAAAGACTGGAAATTGTTTTTATCTGTCATAAAGAAGACAGAAAATGAGATTATGCTTGTGGGATTTGAAATATTTTCTGTTGAACTTTTAATCAGAAGATGTAATTTTAACTGAAGAGTATATAGAAGCTTAACATAACCATACTCTTTTTGGTTTGGACAGTGAGAAGTCTTTTTGAAATGAATTTTATGTGTGGGAAGGGCATAAGAACTTTAGGGTAGGTATTTGTAGTATTTTGAGGTGTTGTACTATATGGTTAGTATTTATTTTGGGTGGTGTATCGTTACTGTGTTTATTATAGTGTATAGTTATGTTGTTTACTAATAAAGATTATTAAAAATAACATTATGGTTTAGTAAATGAACAGCCACCTTTATAGTCTCTAGAAAAACAAAACCAGTTCACATTAAAATGTCTTTTCTAGACACTGCTCTGTGTCGCTGTGGGGCAAGGAGTAGGATGTTTGTGACACAATTATGGAATTTTTCTGCCTTCTCTTAGATTTTAGTTCCCAGTGGATTAACATTTCAGGGCAGCATCAGAGACTCAAGACAAAATTCAATTAATTGAATATGAAATATTTATAACCCTGTTCTATATGACTATCAAAGGAAGGCCCTTAATAAACCTTCTCATTAGAATGGACTAGTGACTCATGTCTTTGCTTTTGTAGTCATTTGGAATTTAAATCCAATTAATCTACTGTCCTTGTGAATTTGATTTAATTATTTGAGAAAGGAAAAACCATTTCCAAAAGATAATAATACAGAGGGAGAGAGCAAAAAGGAGTGGGAAAACGTTGATCGCAAAAATATTTTCTCTTCCCATCACCCCAATTGCAAAAAGTATAATAAGCCCTGGTATTTCCTCAGGTATTCTGGGAAACTGGAAACCACTTAGAAAAAAGAGAAATTTCCAATTTTTTGGTGTATATTACCTAAGA